CAAAACTACAAGAATACGCTGAAAAAAAGTATTATAAAAATATTACAAATTGGCGAAAATTGTATTTTCCAAGATCTCCCGGAAAGTGTCATGGATTTATTTATTTTAGTTATCTGTTCAAAACAGTATTTATTTTTCATGTAGGACCATTTTTGGCCAAGTTACAGCAAAAAAACCAAAAGAAAAAAATTCAAATTTTTACCAAAAACCCAGATTCCAATTTTTTACAAAAAAATAATTCGTTTTTTGACCGTAACATTGCAAATATTGATCCACATATGGAGTGTCATACCTTTCTGAACTCGATATTAAATTTACTATCGATTGGCATTTAAACCTGGACATTTTATTTTTTTGCCATTTTTCGTAAAAAATTACGAGGTACCCCCTTACAAAAAAATTGAAAATTTTCGAAAATTTTATTTTTGCAGGATCACCCTGGAAGTGTTACGTATTTATTTATTGTTTAGTTATCTGTTCAAAACAGTATTTATTTTTCATGTAGGACCATTTTTGGCCAAGTTACAGCAAAAAAACCAAAAGAAAAAAATTCAAATTTTTACCAAAAACCCAGATTCCAATTTTTTACAAAAAAATAATCCGTTTTTTGACCGTAACAATGGAAATATTATTCCAAATATGGAATGTCATACCTTTCTGAACTCGTTATTAAATTTACAATCGATTGGCATTTAACCCTGAACCTTTTTTTTTTTTGCCATTTTTCGTACAAAATTATGATGTACCCCCTTAAAAAAAAATTGAAAATTGGCGAAAATTTTATTTTTTCAAGATCACCCTGAAAGTGTCATGGATTTATTTCTTATTTTGTTATCTGTTCAAAACAGTATGGATTTTTGTTGTAGGACAATTTTTGGCCAAGTTACAGAAAAAAACCAACTGAAAAAAATTCAATTTTTTACCAAAAACCCAGATTCCAATTTTTCACAAAAAAAATAACACAAAGTTACGAAATTTCTTGCAGTGAACCGCAAATATACGCAGACAGACACAGAGTCGAACTAAGGAAGCGGCACAGACAAGCGGACAGACGGGGCAACACACGTAGGTACAAGAAATCCTGCTTGCTGCACTTGGCACGACTAGGAAAATGTCCCTACTTCTAGCCCCTCCTCCTCGTTGTCATCCTGCTCCTTGTCGCTTCTTCAACGCTTTGAAAAGAGCGCCGCAAGCAGTTTGCCTTCAACTTGAGCCACCACCTTTGCGACATTGATGCACTAAAAACATAGTTCAGAAAATAAACATTGAAACAATAAGTTATTTTAAAAATTGTGCTGACCTAATGGAGTATTTTATTATATTTTAATTATATTTTGCATAAAATTTAATGCAGTTTTTCGGTATTTATATTAAATATATTAAAATAGTTCCTATTTATTTGGTTTTTGCAAGTCATATCTTTTATTTCCTATTTTTTTTCTTTCAAATTCTATCGTTTATTTTTTTTAAGTCTTTTTCAGTGTGATGCTGTTGCTGTGCGACTTTCTTTCAGCCGGCGGTTTTGGCAGCTCCGCTCCTTCTGTTTTCTGTTGCAATGTCTCCATTTGGCTGTCTGGTCTTTGGGCTACGTGTCTATTCGAATTTTCACCAAAAAGATACCCTGTAAGCAGCCGCGGGAAGTGGAAGTGCCTGCTCGATACGATCGCTACCGTAGACACAACATTTTTGTTTAACTTTATTTCGGGCGGGAAAACTTGTGGAAACTGAAACTGTCTCGAAAGTCGAAAGCGAGCTTCGCAAATTGAATTGGAATTATTTGGCAAATGTGCACCGACGTAGAGGGAAATACACGGAAAAAGGAGCAAAAGAAAACCAATGGAGTGCGGCAACATTTTATGCAAATCAACTGACAGATTTTCACCCCTGGCACGTGAGCGATAAAAAAAAGAACAGGTGAAAAACAGGCGAAATAAAACGTGGGGGTAATTGAAAAGCTGCAGCGACAAATGCATCACTGCACAGCAGCCGTCTCTCCCTTATCGCGTATGTCCCGTCTCTTTCGCGTCGCGAGGCTTTATGCCTCAGTTTTCCCGGTGATTTGTGCGTGGCCGTTATTCGATAAGCGTTTAAGTAATTAAATGCACGCCCGTTGCGATTGATAAACGAGCTCTGCCGTCTCTTTCTCGTTCACTTCGGCAGTTCAGGGCCTTAATTGGGATATATATGATGTATCATTGCGGGGGCAAGTGTTTTCTCATCGATACAAATCGAGTCTGACACTGTCGAAGTGATCATTTTCATTTAAAACGGGAAACTTAACTTGGAGATTTAAAATCACCTTTTTAAGGTGCCTAAAAGTATGCTTTCATATATTTAAAAGCAGAAAATCGCATGCATAAATACCAAAAGCAAACTTAAATTTTTTTTTTAAACATACTTTTAGGCTTTATCTCAATAGTTTTTAAATCTTTAATGGTTTCTTTTTGGAAATAAAGCAGTGCATACTTTTAGGCACATTTATAGGTGATTTGAAAACACCAATAATAATATAGTACTCAACCACTTGACAGTTCTCATTACACCCAATCCTTTTCGATCCATTTAGCGTTCTAGAAATGTTTCCAAGTTCAAATGGAATCGGGGGGCTTTTCACACACACATGACCCCATTTTCCGGGGGAAAAGCGCGTTAATTGCTGAATATTTTATTTGCATTTAAATGGCTGCCAATGGCGGCCGGCGAGTTTCCCATGCCAAGGACAAGAAAATGAGTCCATGATTATGCGTAAATAATAAATTGTTGCTTTATTGAATTTCATTCCATTAAAATGTTACCACATAATGAGATGTGTATACATGTATATGTTGGTGTGTTTTCCGTGTTGTGTCTTTAATTTTTTTTTTTTTTTTTTTATTGATACGCTGATACCTTTGAAGGTTGTTTTCCATTCCGACTGCCCTCCTCCTGTGTTTTTTTTTATTTCAACTCAAATTCCAATTAAATCGTACAACAAACAATCAGGAAAATCGAATTCAGGTTTCGTTTTCACTTAAACTCAAAGTATTTAAATTTTTAACTTTAAAGTTGAGCCACAAAGAAGCTTTTTATGAACAAGAAAAAAAAGGAAAAATAAAACTCCCTTTTTATGAATCCAGTTTGAGAAATATTTTTGCCATTGCGCTTAGTTTTAATTGCCTTTCGCTCTTTTTTCTCCTCTTCACGTTTCGCTTTTGATATGTTAATTACACCGCATTGCATCCGCCACCTCCCCCTCGACTTCTCCTTCTCTCTCTGCCCTCCACTTTATCCGCGTCTTGCTTATGAAATTTTTATTTCCGCTCACATACTTTGTTGTGTGTCAGTGTGCGTGTGTTTAAACTAGTAATTCGGCTAAAGCTGTGGAATTGCTTTTTTTTCTTCCTGTTTTCTTTCATTTTTCTACACAAAGTATTTTTAATTTCTTAAGTTTTCGACTTATTTTTGGGGGAATTTCTCAGAGTTTTTCATCCATCCTTTTGCACTTTTATTTCCTTTTTTATGTTGCATGTTTGTTCATTTTTGCTGAATCAACTGTGTGTGGGTGTAATGTTCGCTTCAGACTGTCCACAAAAATCTTACAAATGTGGGAAAAGGTTGGAAATATTTGAAAATTTTATAATAAAAGTTTGTTGACTTTTTTTAAATATTTAATATATTTTTTTATATTTTTAAAACACATTATTTTTGAAAACGAAATATTTTCTTGAAAGATTTAATGTTTAAACAAAAGCAAAATAAATTCCAAATTTAAATGACCTTTATTTCCAGTCCGAAGCAACCATTTAAAAATCTATAATTGTTTTTTCATCGCTTTGATATGTTGTTTTTTGCCTTTTTAATAACCACTAAAACTTGTTATTTGTTTTCTTCTGGCTAATTGAATGTTTTTTTTGTTAGCTCAATATCGTTTTTCCTTAAGTGTGTTTTCATTGTTTTTCGTTTAATTTTGAAACCTATTTCGATGGATTTTGCGTGCAAGGGCGACCGGAAAAGCATTCAGTGTGTGTTTGTGCGTGGCGAATAGTGCTGCCATTTGTCTTTAATCCAATAGAATTATAATTTTTCGCCAAATAAAAATAAGAATAAATTATTTTGGCTGATTTGTCGAGTTTTTGAACATTCTCAAATGACAGCACCATTTTTTCGAGGCTCTTTTTCTAACAATTTCTTCTAATTTTTCAGCTACTTAACATCCAGAAGCAATGCTTTCTAAGACTAAATGAAATCCAATCGAAACCAAGGCGCAAAATTATTTTGTTTTCGGTTATCACTTTTTGATTTCTAACAGCTCTTTGAGTATCCGTGTGTGTGTTCGCGTATATATGTATGTGTTCGTGTGTGTGTCTACAGGTTTTTTCGCTATTTATACACAAAAAAAAATGTTTTTCGCTTAACTTTAGTTTTACATTTTTTTTCCATTACTTTATTTTATCGTTTACTTTTTCTAACGTTTATCGTTTAATGTTTTCCATATATATTCACCACACAAAAAAATCGTTTTCGACAATTATCTCTATATCCTTTTATTCGCTTCCCTCGTCCTTCGTGTAAAACATAAAACACCAAAAATAATACATCCGAAAGCGGCGACTATAATATAGTACTAGAATTATGTTTAGATTTTTTAAGTTGGTAACATTTCGGGGGAAAGGGGAATGGGAGTTTTTCAATAATTGTTCTCAAATAAGGCGAAGAACCCTTTGAATCTGGCTGGCATCGTTTTATTGCGGCTCGAAAATGGTTCAAACGGTTTAATTAAAATAATATAAATCTAAATTCAGCAAAGGCTATATTTTATTTTTTATAATATCAGTCTAGAAATAACAAAAAAATAAAATAGAAAAAAAGTTAGTTTGAAAATAAAAGTTGGAATAAATATTCTTCAAGTGTAAAATGTTTGAAACACTTTATTAAAAACAGATTATTATTCATGATTCATTCTTAATTTTTTGAAAAATATACTTTTTGCAAACTGAAGTTATTAAAATTAGTATTATGAATATATTGAAATACATGTTTTATTTTCTGTCATTTATATTTAAGAAGCTCTTTGACTTGGGTTTTCAGGGTGATTTCCACTTTCCTTCCATTGCTACCAACTCATCGTTAATTTTTCCTTTCCATCCACTCCTCTCTCTATCTCTCTCTCTGTGTTTTTCCAGCTTTTCCCGCTTTTCCACTTAAGGCATCGGAAAGTGATTCTGCTCAAAGTCTTTGTGTCGCTCCGCCAGCGATTTCTCCAGCCGTCGATCCGTGATGGCCACGAATGGCAGTCGCGACTGTTTGCCTCTACTGCTGCCGGGAATGCCACTGGATGCACTTGCTCCTCCTCCTGCTCCGTTGATGCCATCGATGACGCGATGGTAGACAAAGGAGTTGAGGGGCGAGGGATCTCCCCGACCTCCTCCGGGGGATCCTCCTGCTCCTCCTGCTGCTCCTCCTCCCTCTGGCTTTTCCGTGGAATTCCCCGCCTCCAAACGGGGCCAACTACTTTGACCTCGACCAGCCACATTGGCCACAAACTGGGCGCTCCGGCTGCGACTGCGCGGTGTGCCCAGGAAGCTCCCGGCGATGGCCGGATAGGATGGTAGCTTAAATAGCGCCGGCTTGGGCGTGGTGGTCGAGGAGGAGGAGGAAGGATTTCCCGCCTTACTGGCCACTTCGCGCTGCCAAAAGTCCAGGGTCTCGGGTGCCGGATCACCGGATTCCTCGCCAGAAACCGCAGCAGCCGGGGCATCCTCCTCGGGCAATTGATTGCTGGCCACAGTAGTTGGTTCCTCCAACTGGGTAACTTCTTTTGGCTTAACCGTGGTCGTCGTCGTCGAACTCTTTTGCTGGGCAAACAAATCCTCGAAGCGCTGATGCTGATGGTAGCGACGCCTCTTCTCCTTCAGATACTCATCATCCAGGCGAATGGATTCAGTGCTGCCAAGGGGATTCCCTGGATTTAAAGTGGGTGTGGGCAGGGTGCCCTCGAGCAGATTGAGCAGCTGCTTGTTGCGGCGATTATACTTTTTGATATAGGGCGGCAGGTTGGCCTCCTCGCCGCGCTCCTGCTCCGCCTCCTCCAGTTCCGCGGCACTCTCGTAGTCGTCCTCGTAGTCGCCATACAGTTCGGGATGCGATTCGCGGTAGTGCTCGTCGTAGACCTGGAACTGCACCCTGGCTAGATGCGGCCACTTGGCGTAGTAGCGCTCCAGATGCTCCAGCTCGGTGATCTGATGGCCCAGCTGGGGTTTCGGTGGTGGCAGAGGCGGTGTGGGTGGTGGTGGCGGTGGTGGTGGTGCCACCGGTGGGTTAGGAATACCCTTCCTCTGATACGGATTACTGGGTCGCATTGACTTGGCATGCCCATGATGGTGATGATTGTGATGATGATGATGGTGGTGATGATGGTTGCCCAGGTGGCCATGATGATGACCATGATTATGGTGATGCTGATGATGATCCTTCATCGCCGTCTGATCACTCTTAATGCCATTCCTTAGAACCGGACTGATGCGGCGATACCAATTGCCATTGTCGTGGGCTATCAGGCGCTCCATTTCCGTGTGGTGCTTCGGATCGACGTCCAGCTGCTGCGGCTGATTATCGTAGTAGTTGACCTGACCCTCGTAGAAGGGCTTCCCAGTGGGGGTCAGGGGTCGCTGGGGTCGCAGGCCCAAGGCGAAGATCGGTGCCGAGTGCGTGGATCGTTCGCGTTCCTTCTGCAGCTTCTGCAGATGCCTCGTTGAGATCGGGGGCGTCGGGGTCACCACCACCACCATCCGCTCCGGATGCCGCTTCAGATAGTCCTTGTACCGCTTCTTGTGGCTCTTGTGACCCGTCCGCTGGCGACTCCTTCGCAGCGCCTTGAAGCGTTCGAATGCCGACGCGGGGGCGGCTGCTGCGGCGGTGGGCGTGGCCCCGGTGGCTGCGAGAATAAAAATCTTTGTTAGTCTCGGCACGCTTTCTAGGGCTCGGAAGTAATAGATTTCTATTAGGCCAACGGACAACAAGATATTCTTCTGTCCAATGCCCTAGAAAAAGGCAAAAGAGGGTCGTATGATGCGCTTAAACAGTTTGACACGCATTAAAATTTCAAAAAAGGTGACCGAAAATGTATTAATTCTGAGATTCCGAGAACAAAGTTCTATTTCTCTAAAATATTGTGTTTGGTTTTTTGGTTATTTAATTTTTAAGACTTTTTTGATTGTTTTTTTAAAAAAGGTGACCCAAAACTGCAATTCTGTGATTTAAACTAATTAATTGCATGCCGATTTCGCAGTTTCAAGCCTCCATATAATTCTGGCCTTACTATCTATTGGTTTTATTTTTAATCAAATTTTTTAGCTCACTTTCTTTATGTTTTTCAAAAAGTTAACCCCAAACTGCACTTCTATGGTCCATAACTTGATCAAATAAACTCCGATTTCGAAAAGAAAAATCCCTAAAAACGTCAGATTTAAAGCTCTAATATTCAATAATATTTAAATAATACTTTAAGCTGATTTTGTATATGCTTTCGTTATAAATCTAGTTTTCTAGGGTATGCAAGGCCTTCGCTGCTAATCCTGCCCTTCCTTCTCGTTTGACCCAGCTCAATGTTGGTCCTGAAATCCTTACAAACCACACAAAATCCCCAGAACTGCCGCTCCTCCGCATCCCCGATGGGGAACCACACACAAATTCATTCAACTTGATTTGTGCCAGCGAGGGAGGCGTCAGCAGGACTCCCAAGAAATAAAATAATCAACGAATTTATGGTGGAACTCTCGAATCAACCCGGGCGTTTGCTTCTCCCAGTCAGGGCACGTCTGCCATCGCCGCCCCCGCAGAACTTCATTTCTTGGCCAATCCTCTGGACAGATTTTGTTGCTTCCGTTGGCTCAGCTATATACGTTGTATATATATATATTTGCTATTTTGTGAGCTTTATTGTTTAATGCCAGGAAATGGCTGAAGGGGGAGGTGTGAGCACATTCCCCCAGGGAAGCTGAACTTTTTTCGTTTGATTTCTTGGCTTGGAAAAAATTTTAACAAAATTTGCATACATTTTATCAACTTCGCTTCTCGCTAAACTAATTAGGGGAATATAGAATTTGGAGATTTATTCGCTCTTTAGGCAAAGTCTTCGAGCACTTCACACATTTGCATTGAAATTAAAGCGCTTTTCCTGGCCACAGTTTGGCTTTTCATTACCCCCGGCCAAACGTACACATATCTCTCTGTCTGAGGGTCTTCGTCTGTAGAATGTAGAATGCTTTGGGGATTTCCTTTACATATTTTCAATTTACGGCAGGCACACACATAGTACACACACAGCCGCATTGCTGACTTTGATGGGATCTCTAACTGGGGTCCGAAAACCGAAAACTGCCAAGCGAAACCGAACGAGCGAGTGGAATGTGCGGTACAGTGGGCCAAAAGCACAAATTCCCACTGTGAGAGGCCATCAAAGGGGAAATGGAATGCGGTACAGTGCTTAGTTTCTACTGTTCAACAAAGCCAAAGCTGGTTTTATACATTTTCGGATTTAATCCACTAAACTTTCGGAGTTAAAATATTTTATTGCATACTTTTAGACACCTTTTAAAGTACTTTTTAAAACCTTTGAGATTTCTGTGGCAGTTTCTTCTTTTCTAATATTGGTAATGTGTCTAAAAGTATGAAGTAAAAAAAGAATTTTCTTTTTCGGAATAATTCTATAAATCTTTCGGACTAAAAATATTTTATTGCATACTTTTGGACACCTTTTAAAGTAGTTTTTAAAACCCTTGGGATTTCTGTGGTCTTTTCCCTTGTTTATTAAATATTTCCTCTATAATTCTTTAAACCCTTTACACTGTGCCTTTCAATCGAGCATCCACTTTTGTATTTCAATTTTTTCGCTTTAATTTTTTTTTTATTTATTTCACAGTTTCATGTGCAAACGACTTACCCTCGTGATATCGCTGCAATGCAGATTCCAAATCAGATTCCAATTTGCCATCCTCCGGTTGCTCCTGCTCCTCCTCTGGCTTTTCAGCGGATTTCTCCCAGGGATTTTCCAGCTTGGACTTCTCCGCCGGCGGCTGCTCCTCGGCATAGTCGTCGTCCACAAAACGCGTTGAATGCCGCTGCTGCTGCTGCTGTTGTTTCTTCTCGGCTGTCAAGTAATTTTCCTCGGATTTTTCCGGATCGAAAGCGACCAACTTTGTGTCATAGTAGTGCAGCTGGCCCACATCCTGTTCATCCTGGCCATCCTCATCGTTGGTATCCTCTTCCTGGACCGCCGATGCCCGAACCCGACCGATATCATAGCTGCCATAGTATCTGGTTTCTGTGTTCTGCGGCAGACCAAAGAAATTCCTCTTCAGTTTGCGGCCAATTGTTGGCCAAGTTCTTGGAGTTGTTGTCGTTGTCGTTGTCGAAGTTGTGCTAGTTGTTGTTGAGCTGCTGCTGGTGGTGCCTTTTGATGTGGCCAAAGTGGCTGGGACCTTGGTGGTTGTTGATGTGGCTACTGGGTATTTTTTGGCCAATTCATCATTGTCAATGGGCGACTTAATGTCCTCGTCGTCGTCGTCTTCTTGGTTGGGCAATACTTCATCATTATCCAAATTGTCCTCGATATCACCAATGGCCTCATCCACCTGTCTGGACTTCTGCTCCACCTCCTGCTCCTCTTTCTTGGCCGTTGGTTTATTAAATTTTCGTTCGTTTAATATTTCAATAGCATCGAACAGCTGTGACGTCGGGTATTCCCCCAGTAAATCACCATCATCGCCCCGCTTCCTGTCTGTTCTTTGCTCCTCCTGTTGACTTTTCTGTTCGTGCATATTCTTTAATTTTTTATACTCAAACCCAAAACTTTGCCTGCCAAAGTTCGCGTCGTCTTCCTCGTCGTCGCCGGAAGTGAATTTGGATTTTCCGCCACCGGGAACAAGCGTTTCCATACCCGATTTTCCAGCTGCGGCAGCTGCAGATGCTGCAGGAGGTGGAGATTCCTTTGGCGGCCTTCGGTTCTCTATATTGTTTTTCAATTTGTAGTTGTAGTGGCTTATATTGTTCTTCTTCTCCTTGGAGCGCTTCTGGTTTTTGTTATTTTGGTATTTCTTAGCGTCCAGGTAAACACTGAAATTCCTTGAAGTGGGCCTTTGAGATTCAAGTACCTGCAAGTAGTCGCAATGCACAGAGCGAAAAAGGTTAAAGTATATTTTACAACATTTTCTTCGTAACAATCGTTATAAATTCTATAAAGGTGCTTAAAAGTATGCAATAATATTGTTAATTTTCAAAAGATCTATTTTTTACTGCATACTTTTCGTCACCTTTATAAATGGTTGTCATTTTTTTGGAACTCCTTTAAAGTTCTGAATTGTGTTTATAAATTTGGAGGAAAAAACAATTTGTAGTGCACAAATGAAAAAAAAGAAGAAAAACAAAATATACTCAAAGAAAACTCTTTCCTAGAACCTCTCTTAAGAATTTTACTTTGGCATTCCAAAGGTGTGGGCGCACATGTGCAGCTAGACAATAAAATGAAAGTTTCATTTCGAGCCCTTGGCTGTGCTTTCCACACTCAACTCAAGTGTCTGCAAATCGTTGATTACAGGAGTGGAGTACGGGGAATTTTGGGGGAATCGCAATTCCAAGGAATTGTCAATGCAATGGTGGTACGATCTACTGAGTGCATTCTAAAGTGCTAAACGATGTTTTGGCCTTCTTATTTCGCCTTCCTGGTATTTCGAAGGTCAAATCGTCAGTCCTCGTTATATAAAATGTTATTTTTAGGCTCTTATTAACCATTCACTATTTGCAATGAATTAGTTATAGCTTTTAGGTCTTCTATCTTGTAAAGCTATTCCTGCAAATTTAGGACGTGATTCTAAGCTTTTAAGGTCTTCTTTTGTTCTCGGGCAGCCTTCCCCCTTTTGATGGCAATTATTTTTCTGCCTAAATTTTGGTTTCAAAAATGCTTTCAAGTGCCTTTGGCTCTTGCTCTTCTCGACTTTGGTCCCATTTTTTGCTCAAGTGAATTTCAATGTAGGAATCGAGTATTGGGCTAAGCTGCGGCCCATCATCCCTTCCACCTTCTTCTTCGGCTGGAAAAGTAATTTGACTTGGCCGCTCGCATTGTGCGACATTTCAATGGACACCTCCTATAACCCCCATCCACTTGTCGCATATGACCCCACTTGGTTCAATAGAACTGACCTCATTCGGAATGGACTTGACTGTAGGCTCGGGCACTTTATGAAGCATCTGAGCACTTATGTTTGTCTGTGTACACTAAAAAATGTCAAAAAAAGAGAGAAAAATCTCTGATTTGTATGCCCTGAAAATATGAAATCAGTGTAATGGCAAAATTAAAAACTTGTTTTCCAAAAATAAAAAAACATTCCGTTTTTAATAGCGCCCGAGCAGGGATCCAAAGTTGATAATAATTTAATGTAATTTGTATTTTCGGGCCTACTCGGCCACCTTCAAAAATACAATACTTATAGTAAGTAATAAAAAAGTTCACCCATAGGTACATGGCGCCCGAGCAGGGACCGAAAGCTCCTGATAAATAAATCTCTTATTAAGCCATCCAAAAGATATTAAATGATTTATTTACAGCCTTATTAAATGATTTATTTTAAGGAATTAGTTCCTTTAAAGGCATTTTAAAAATTTAAGGCCAAATAATTCAAGTCCCTGCTCGGGCGCCATCTGTAAATATTTTTTCAAGTGTAAGTCATGTGTGTGTACTTACGATATCAGCCTCGGATGCATCCTCGTCGTCGTCCTCCTCCATCAGCCCCACATCATCGTCATCATCCTCATCGTTGGCGGAGGCGGCGGCGTTGGCGGTGGCATCTTCCTCCTCGGCGGCGGCGGCAGCTGCAGCAGATGGAGCATATTGAGCGTCCTCATCCCCAATGTCGCCGTCGTGCTGGTCAAATATGTCCTCCGGAATGGAGGCCTCTTCTTGCAAATTGAAATCTGCAAGGCGAAAGGAGAAGGCGAGAGGCGAGATGAGTAAGTGAGAGGAGGCTACCTGCCCGGGGGCGTCGTTCAGGTGGGTCAGAAAAAGCCAGAAAAAAGACGCCGCAATCCCCACAATAAAATAACATAGAAAAGGTCAGCAGCCATGGCATCTCAAGTACATTCCTAACACAAAAAGAAAGAAGAAAAAATGTATATATATCTACCAAGTCCTCTATGTTCTTTTGCCGTTTACTTAAATAAAAGTAAGCTGCTTGAATTGACTTCCACTTTGGGTCGCCCTGCGAGCGGCCATATATGCAGATGTATGTAGATATATCTCTGTGTGTGTGTATCCGCATGCATGACCTGGGCAAAATAGGTTTTTACTCATAGTTGAATAGACAAGAATTCTTTTTTTTTCCCCCCACATGCGGTGGATCTTTTATGCTCTGTCATTGACTGAATTGCCATTTGGGGAAACTCAAGAAAGGACGTGTGGAGAAATGGGAAAGCTTCGCATGCAGGATTAAAATAAAAATGGCATTCGGGAGCCAAACGAGCGATAAAAGACGGCGCAAATTGCCAGTGAAATTTGCCAGTTTTTTGTGGGGTTTTTCACACGAAAATATTATCAGAAATCATATCGTTCATAACGTGTAAGATACTTGTTTACAGATTTCTTTTAAAGATTCCATCGAAATTTTTAAGAAAGGAAATGTTATAAATAATTTTAAGAAAAGGAAATGTTATAAATAATTTTAGGAAATTGTCACAAAAACTCCGAGTGTCAGCCAAGTTAATAATTTGACCAGGCCAGATGTTGCCATTTCTAGGCCTCTCGAATTATGGAAATTTTATTCAGCACGCCTTTTATTATTGCCATTATTGTCCACTGCTGTTTGTGTTTGTGCGACTAATTAAATTCTTTTTACTGTGATTAAATTAACACAAGCTCGGTAAACACTCACACACACACAGCCAATCTCCGGAGACGAGCCTACACTTTTGGCCATGGGAAACATGGAAAACTGGGAAAGCAGAAGAAGCGCCGGCGGTAAAAGCAAAGTTGAGCCCAAAGTGAGTGAAGAGCAAAAAAATGCGAAATAAAATCACGCAAATGCTTTTTATGTCCCTCGACGCTATGCGGTGACACATTTGTGGAGAGCGGGAGCAAGGAAGACAGCGATACGGCAGAGACGGAAGAGAGAGAGCGAGACGGGGCAATGGGAGCTACGGAACGGGGGACTTTGGACTGCGGAGTTGGTAGGCAGAGGCGCTCAAGTGGGCGTCGCATTGAGGTTATCGTGATTGCACAGTGGTCGTCTCAGAAGGATAAGTCAATAAAAAAGTATTACAAAATTAAATTCAATTTAGAAATTAAAAAAAAAAAATTGTAAAGATTTTAAAACTGAATTTTAGAAATTACTACGGTTTCGAAGTAATCATCAAAGCTGTCTAAAAGTATGCTGTGAAAAGAAATTTTGGAATTCAATTATATTGTTGCCTACTTCTAGTTGCCTTTATACGAGATTTTATTTGTAAAGATATTTATACAAAATATCGTAATTTTTTTGTTTTAAATTTGTAATAATGTTACTGAGTAAATCCATTATATTTTAATTATTTAATTAAAATGATGTTAAATTCTTTATGCTGATTAAATTTAATAGACAGCTTAAGCTATTTAATGGGCTCATTATTTGGTTTCCACTTGACCCCACAGTGTTTTGGTGTGTCATCGCCTTTGTTGCCCGGTTGTCGAGTGGTTGGCTGCTTCATCTGTCCTTTCCCCCCTAGCAAAGGGGGTTGCCCTGCCCCTGGTTATCCTTGCATCCCAACCCCCCTGTCCAACCTTCCTTCTCTCTCCTTCCATGACTGTTTCATGGCATAATGAATAAATGTCGCATTAATTTGCACGCAGACCCAAAGGGGGCAAAAATGTGGGAGATACCAGTGGCATGGCACAGGGGGGGGGCTGGAGTGCTGATGGAACGAATGCGGCACGTTCTGCACTGACTTTGCTTGCGGAACGCCTGTTTTTCTTCATAGCTTTCGAGGCAAACAACGCAAATCCATGCCAAACACTCACGCACATACAGATATTGCACGAACGTGTGTGAATGTCATATGAAATCGCGTAAACAAACTGACCCCCAAAGCACCCCCTTTTTGTAGCCCCCCCTCCCGAGATACACGAGATACCCACCCCTGGCAGCAGTGCATATTTGAATTTTGTGGCACTCCGGAGTTTAATTATTATGCTTGTAATGAGCATGTTGCATATTTTAGCAGACCCACAGAGTCCGCTTTGCTTAGCCGTTTTCCATTTTCCGTTTTCTATTTTCCCACCACCCCATTCCAGCCCTCTGGCCATTTCCTCTATCCACTTTAGGCTAATTAATAGACAGATGATTCAGCTTCATGCAGTGCAGCACAGCGGGCCTTAACCCCTCATTTTAGCATTTTAACATTTTACCATCGCCCTGCGCCATGCCTTAATTAACCCATTATGGCCTGTTGATTTTTCAACCCCAGCCATCTCCATTTTGCACCTCTGCCCTTTGCTAACAACTTTTTGCATAATTATCCAACGATCTATTTGTCCATTCAACTGAGCAATTTGTTGGCCATTCCCATTTTCTTTAAATCCCCTTGGAAAAAAAACCACAAAACATTGCCTACTTTTAGGCGCTTGAAGGGGCATTATTTTGCAAACCACAAAAATGAGTTTATTAGAAACCTGTAAACAGAACTAAACGGAAGAAAAAACGAAAAAATAAACAGGGAAAATCTACTTTTGAATGGCAAACAAAATAAACGAACGCTGTGTTAGATAACGTTTCGCATGGAATTTTTGCTGGTGCCCTCAGATTAGAAATGGTTGAATAATCCCCAGCCATAATGGGTTTTTACGTATCTGGGGGCATTTATCGTTTTGTGCACTTTTGCCACGAATAAATGATGGCAATGCAAGTTATGGTCAAAAGAAAATATAATTTGGTTTATTTTTTGCAATGCTAATTAACTGACAAAAGTTTTTGGTATGAAAGTAAATATTATTAAGTATTTTGTTTAAATTTCTGCAGGTTCCTAGAAATATTTTAGCTTTAAAAGAGATATAATTTTGGATACTTTTAAGCATGTTTACGAGTGATTTAAAAAGTCTAGTGATCCTTGTTTTAGTCTAGCTCTTTTTATATAGCACTAGATGGAACATTTAAAGAAAACCTTGTTTCTGGGAAAACTATTTATTAAGTCTAGAAAAGCTTTGCATTTTGTATGAGACTTGCAATATTATTATCTTGCCATTACCTTTAATACAATCTGTTTGCTACAGAGTGAATTTATTGTGTTGGCGCGCGAAGCTTGGATCCTTTGAATCCTTTTTGTATCCTACATGTGTGTGTGGGAACTTAAGCATCAATGTATGTGTGTGTGCGCCTCTTGCCTGGGTGTGTGTGGGTCTGAGTGTGTTTGGCATTTAAATTTATTTAGTGCATAGTTGGCAGCAAGACAACAATGGCGGCCACAAAAGCCACTAAAGTCTAATTAAAATGTCCGCAACCGTAACAATGTGCGGGACAAACGGAACGCATTGTTGTTCTTGTTGATTTTTTGTTGTTGTTGCTGTTGATGCGACAACAAGTTTTTGGCCGCCTACCGAACATAAAGCACAAAACACAAAACACGCCACCCTCTCGATTTAAATGGAATACCGAAAATTGTTGAAATTGTTTTGGGCGAAATGCGAAAGTTAGCCGCCAACATTCTGGTTCACTTGACATCTGCCCTAGTTGACTTTTCCAGAACCCCACCCCCACCCGGTGACCTTGAAAAACTACCATGGTTGTGGGTGGTTAGTTTCCTTGGTCCTTTTGCCTTCTCTCCACGCTCCACGCGGCGTATGCGTAATATATGTCATCGACATTCGTCCTGTTCGTGATGTTTTGTCAATAAAATAACAAACAAAGCGTAATCTGCGATGAGCGCTCGTGGTGCAACGTGACGTATGCGTAATGTGCTTTGCAATTTGCCCAAAAAGCGGAGGAAGCCAGTAAGTCAGAAGACTAATTTTGACAACTTGCATTCACGTCCACGGAAGATGTTATGACACACTGCGTTTGACTTGCAGTTGACTAGTGCTCACAATGCGCAATGAAAGGCAAGTCTTTTGGCTTGTGCAACCTGGCGTATGCGTAATATTTTAATGACAATGCTCTAAAAATAAATTAAAGCTGAAAATTGTATCATTAGATGGAATATACGTTTATGAAATCACTTATAAATGTGCTCTGTATGATGTGAAAAAAGAATAGTAAATTTATATCACTTTGGCATTAAAATATATTGTTGCATACTTTTAGACACCTATTTTATTTGAATTTATTAATATAGCTTTTCAAAGATACGACGAACATCAGTAGAACAATGCAAATTTGAGGCATGGCAAGCTTACAAATTGCCACAACTATCGATAATATGAATATGCAATTCAATTTCCAAATAGGATTTGTGTGGCTTACAAGGCATTGCATGGACTGGCAAACATTTGCACCAGTCTGTGCATCGTCAGTGTTTTGTAATCCCCATCTCTAAGTGGAGACAGGAAAACAACCCGATACCCTATAGCCCTTAACCCTAACCCCCAACCATCCACCCTTTTCAAATCCCTTAACTATTCATCGATGTCATGGCATATTTAAACATAAGCCAAGCTAATGTTCCAGACACACACACACGCTACAGAAAGTGCAAAATGTTCAAAGCCTCCCATTTAAATCGGCTTAATATCTCCCTGCCTTTCAGTCCTTCAGATACAAAACCGAAACTCTGGCATCCGACCCATTTGCATTTTTATGATGCTAAAATTGCAACATATTCTCAAAAGGACCAGCAACAAAAAATTGTTTCAAAATACGATAAATATATAGGTAAAAGGGAAAAAAAGATAAACCAACAAACAAACAAAATAAAAAAAAGGAAAAATGCAAATAGATGTGTGTGTGGATGGAAAA